GGAAGAGGAGGAGGAGCTACTTAGCAGGAAACGTCACTTTCCTTTGCATCTGTCCCAGCTCAGCACTTAGCACATGTCACGGGCTCAGTCACAGTGGCTCTGCGATGGGGTGTGGGGGGGTGTTGCTGTGGTCAGGCAAAGAAGAGACCATTCAGTGCGGCAGCAGGGCTGCTTTGTGACCTGGGAAGGAGTAGGATGAAGCCAGACTGCAAGGGGTGAAAGGAAATGAGCGGTGAGAAGGTGGAAACATCTGGAAAGAGAAGGAGCAGAGCGGAGTGCCCTTGGGCAAGGCACCAGCCAACAGTGTTGTCAGCGGAGACGGGGATTGAACAGTGAAGTGTCAGAGGATGCGATTGGTGTTGAGTGGACGCAACTTTAAAAGCACAGAAAAGAAGAACAGGGGTTATTTTTCTTCTGGGTGTGGAAGGGTGAAGAGAGATGGGAGAAGACAAAGTGGAGAAAGTTCAGGGTGGGCTGCGTGACAGCAGCGTTCTCAGTGAGCCCCGAGGGCCTGTGGAGGATAGGAGGGGTTTGGAAGCCAGGGGTGGGCAGGTCAGGAATCTGACAAAGAGGAGTGAAGGGTTGTCACCTGAGTCTGTAACTGATCATTGCACAGAATCTCAGCTTTCTCTAGCAATGCTTCACAGCTTGGGACTAGGAAAAATATGGTCATATATAACCTACTGCTGTTATTGTTACTATCATAGCAATACTACACATAGATCCTATGAAACTTTCCTAACAATTTTTTGAAGAAATTATCATCTCTGTTTTACAGATGTGAAAACTGAGGCTTAGAGAGATTAAACAATTGTCAAGGTCACAAAATTAGTAAGAGACAGACCTGGCATTCACACCTAGAGTGTGTGTTCTGTCCGACCCAGGCTGGGGTCGTCGGGGCCCATCCACGTGAACAGGTGCACAGCGCACGGGGGAGATTTCCCAGTGGGAGAGGTTCGGAGCCACCAGCGGGGCCTGGTTGGAATGGCTGACCCTGGGGTCCGTTATTGGCAGGAAGATCTATGGGAGTGGCCGAGAGGACTGGACAGTGCAGTAGGGCTGTGGGATCAGCAGCGGTGAGGGCGTGAGGTTCGCTTCGAGAGGGAAAAATGGAAGTTCGCAAATGTACAGTCCTGGGGGTGTTTGGACTCCAGAGAAACTGCCTCAGTTCTGAGGCGCTGGAAGGAGTGCAGAGCTCAATGGAAGGAGATAGGGATGCTGTATGTTTAAGAAGGTGGGAACCCACAAAGTCTAGACGTTAGAGGTTATCAGCATAGACGCTGAAACTGACCTCTTGTAAATACTCCATTTATCAGACATAATCATAACTTAATATAAAATATAAAAATAACAAAGACAAGTGCAAATTGGTTCTCAACTACCTCTTTTTGGATATTATCCTTGGTTCTTGTTCAATGATCTATACAATTGAAAGCTGACATTTTATTTTTTAGTAAATGCTTTAAGATACATAATGGTTTTATGTTATATTTTTGAAAAAGATAATAAATGCCTCACCTGCCTTTCCAGAGTCATCTCCTGCTGCACCCCTCCCTGAGACTAGGCCACACGCAGCCCCGGACTGTGCTCTTCTTCCCGGACCCCTTGCAGTGCTCCACCTTGAGGCCTCTGTCCCTGCTGTGCCCTCAGCCCGGAGCTCCCTTCCTCCGAAGCCCTAGCTGTCAAAATCCTCACTCTTCAAGGCCCGACTCAAATGCTGCCCCCTCTGTGAAATTTTCCCTGATGCCCAGAATCCACCCCCCTTCTCTCTTTGTTCCCACAATGAATAGTTGGAACTTTTTTTTAGCATATTTCATTTTGCCAGGTGGTATACTTGGTTGTTTTTATCTCTTTCTTCCTCATTACTTGTGAGTTGCTTGCTAATAATATCATACTGTCCATTTTTATAGTGCTTTATAATAATAAAATGCTTTACCCTAAATTATTTTGGGGAGGCAGGGACAATTTTTCTTTTATCTTTGTAATCTCACAACACCTTGCATATAAATATACAATAAAGGGTAATTACAATGAATTTATGTGAACCAAACCCCTGCTTCTCTAAAAAGGAACTAAAGCACAATCCAATGCAGGGCCTATTTCCCTGTGTTCACATAAACTAAAATATCAGTTAATTATGTCATGAAATTGCATAAATTTCTGCTCCGGCGCTAATCCTCCACTAAAAATCCAAACCAGATCAGAAATGGGCAGTTGTCCTGGGCAACTCGAGAGTGAAAATAGAACCAAAATATAAAAGGCACACAGTCAGATGCAACAGAATAAATATGACCTCCTGGCTTTTTTGAATAGAGAGTTCTAGATGGCCAGTGACTTTGTGAATAGGCTGGAAGGTGTGTGCCCCCACTTTTAGAAATAAACAATTACTGAGAAACAATGAGGCGTCCAGCACTCATGCCGTGCTGACACGGGCCCTCTGTGGCTGTGCGTGCGCTCGGTGGAGAGGAGGTGCTAGTGCTCACGTCTGCCTTGATTGATAACAAACCGCAATGTAACGAGACGTCCTTTATGTCATTCCACACAAGGGTGAAAAGGTGGAGGGGCTACAAGCGCAAGCCCTGTATCCTTGGCGAGCCAAAAAAGACAACCATTTAAATTTTAACAAGAATGATGTCATCACCGTCCTGGAACAGCAAGACATGTGGTGGTTTGGAGAAGTTCAAGGTCAGAAGGGTTGGTTCCCCAAGTCTTACGTGAAACTCATTTCAGGGCCCATAAGGAAATCTACAAGGTATTTTTGTGTTTATCTGCTTCTATTCAATGAAAACGATACTGAGCGTTGAATTATTGTTTGCACTAGTTAAGACTCACCGATAGGAGTTTCAGAGTTATTTTATCTTTTGGATCTTTTAACTGCAAAGTTAGAGTATGTGAAATATGAAAAGGGAATCTCCTACAGATAAGTGGTCATTTTTTCTTCCCTTGTGGAAACCTAGACATCTTGTTTTTCATTGTTTTATGCAAGAAAGAATTTTACTCTGAGACCTGGAACATTCTTGTGTATTGGTTGGAGATCATGACTCTTTTTATCCTGAGTACCCAGTATTGTACCAGATTTATGTGAATACTTAGAAGCCCAAAGCATTTGGGGCAATAATTGGAAGAATGAATTATCTTTTTCATTAGGGTCTTATAACATGAAGCCATAACAAGGTGGTGGTTTAATTATTCCAACCGTATACATACTCAAAATAAATTGTGAGCTTTACAAAGATAAAAATAGCAAAAATATTAGACGAGCATCTCTCAGTCAAGCTTTGAAATGGACCACAGGCTGTGTGTCCAGCACAGCAAAGTGCTGAAAAACAAGAATGTGAGCCTAGCAGCTTACCTCTGTAGCACCTTTTATGCGTCTTTAACTTAGCTAAGTACAACTATTTCAGCTATGGATTGTTCAAAATTTTAAAAGTTAAGCAGTTTTAACAAATATTAGTGTCATTTGTACTATTTTCTTTTAAGATAAAACTTAAAATACTCTTCTTTTTCCTTCTTGCAGCATGGATTCTGGTTCTTCAGAAAGTCCTGCTAGCCTAAAGAGAGTAGCTTCGCCCAAGCCAGTCGTTTCGGGAGAAGGTGAGGGCCTGAGTCATATTATGTTCTTCAGAAGAGTCGAGAAACATTGTGTGATACAAACAGTAAAAGTTTGAGATAGCATTGGATTTCGTTTCAAAATAGACTACATTAACTTATAATCAGTAAACTCTAAGGTAAAATGAAAGTTTAGCTCTTTACAAAATCAAAGTTCTTTATGGAGACTTCCAAAATGCTATTAGATTTATTGATCATTAGAAACTGAATTTACTAATTATATTTGATCATGAACACTTGACTTTTGAAAGAGTCAGTTCACTGAGGATTGAGTTTTCTGAGCCTTTCTATAGCTAAATTACAGTCATTACTTCCCTTACTATAGTCTAGTCTTGTCCGACTTGTCTAGATAAGTATTTTTTTTAAAACTAACCCCACAGTAGAGATCTTCTAGTAACATGAGTGCCATCTGTACCATCCCAAATGAAACAGAAGCTCAATTTCTATGTTCCATGTAAATAACCAAACTAGATTATGTAGGCCTACAAATTTCATTATGAGTGTTTGTTACACCAATAATTAATTGCTTTCTTTCCCTATCTCTACTTTGCAGCACAATCCTAAATATTATGTGGATGTCAAATAAACAAAACCTACATAATTCAGGCCCTAATGGTAAAAATCTCATGTCTTTTCTACTTTGAATATAATCAATATCACAGCACGAATTGAAGAGTGCTACCTGAGTTAGACAGTCTCTCCAAGCAGAAGTCTGAATAGTGTTTACAGTTAGCAGATGTCATAACTAACAAATTGTATAGGAATTTTTTATGGGTTCCTTGAATAAATTATATGACAATGGAATGTTTTATTTAATCTGCTTGCTATAATGAGACTGTTGCATTCCTTAGAAACTTTACCTAATAAAAAATGGAATTATTAAAACAGTTGTTTTAATGGAGACAGCAAGGATTAAGGTGTTTTGTTTTGAGACAGAGTCTTATTCTGTTGCCCAGGCTGGAGTGTAGTGGTGTCATCATAGCTCACTATAGTCTCAAACTCCTAGGTCCAAGCGATCCTCCTGCCTTAGCTTCCTCAAGAGTAGCTGGTACTACAGGCACATACCATGACACCGAGCTAATTTTTCTATTTTTTGTAGAGACAGTGTCTCACTCTTGCTCAGGCTGGTCTCAAACTCCTGGGCTCAAGCAGTCCTCCCATCTCAGCCTCCCAAAGTGTTAGGATTACAGGCATAAGCCACCATGCCCAGCAAAGGATTAAGTTTTAATGGTATTTCAGATTCACAGTAACAATATTCCTTTTTCAAGAGGAATTTTAAAAGTAAACTTTTTTTTTAGTTTAAAAATACCTCATCATCACTAAACAAATCCAGCATTTTACTACATCTAAGTTTTGCTGTTACCATGAAAACAATTATTAGCAGAGTTCTCTATACATTCTCATTACCTTAATGATTTTTTTATCCACTGTCAGGAGAACAAGGCAATATATGCAGTCAGTATAGTAAAAAGCAAATTATCTGCCCCCCGTGAAAAATAAGACTTCAGTGTCTTATGTCCAATCAAGGCTCACTGGAGGGCTGAAGTTTGTGTCTGGCTCTCTCAGCTAGCAACCATATGATTCTAGTCATGCCTTCGCTTCCTTGTCTGTAAAGTGGGTATAAGAACCACCCCTTGAGGTAGGAAATTAATTACAAGAATTATGCGATCATATGTATAAAGCTTTAAGAACAAAGCTCAGAGCGTTCTCATCAAACTGCAATGTGGAGGAATGTTTAGTTGTTTTTTATTTCAGAATATTATGGGGGTACACACATTTTGGTTACATAATTTGCTTTCGTGCAGTTCAAATCAAAGTTATAAGTGTGCCCTTTACCCATCCCCTCCTCCCAGAATGTTTAGGTTTGAAATATGTATAGACGCCTTGACACTTCAGGACTCGATAAATAGGTCACAATGAACCACACATATCCTTGAAATTGGGCAACAGAATAGTTGAATTCTGATCTTAGTTGGTATTTATTACATCCATGTTAGAACAACTTAGGTACAGAAATATTAGGAAAGATTGTTGGCATCGTGGAGTGGTGTGGGAGGACGTTAGCATTTGAAATTCTGGCAGGAGCTCTTTACGTACATTAGTGAGCCTCTCGTTCGTACTGGATTGAACATAATCAAATTTAAAGTAAACTGTAAACCAAATTAAATAGATTATCATTTTGGATAGTTTTTTATTTTTTTTTTTTTTTTTTTTTTTGAGATGGGTTCTTGCTGTGTTGCCTTGGGCTCAAGCAATCCTCCCACCTCAGCTTCCCGAGTAGGTATCTTTTAAAATCCTGGCTGGGGAATGGCCAGTGCCCTCTGTTAAGTGTCCCGTGAGAAGGGGACTGATGAGAAACCTCCGCACGTCCACCATCACGTCTCTGGGTTTCATTGTACCCCTGAAAACGCCTTGCAGCCGCCTTTGTGCAGGACAGGGCAGGGCAGGGCAAGCCTCAGTCTCTCCCGTCTCTTTTATGTTTTGTGCTGCAGTATCAAGTTCAGCCAGAGTTCATGTTTCTAACGTTTCTTAAGCATTTTGAATGTTACTTCAAAATTTGGATCCATTTTCAAGAAAGTGACTTTTATGTTGAGGAATCACTGGGAAATGTATTGACTGCCAAGGATCCCATCTTAAATGGCCAAATATGAACTAAGGAACAGTAAGAGGGAGGAAAAGTGAAAAAGGAAGGGTCAGAATATTGAGAAATCAGAAAAACGAGCCTGTTAATGAAAAAAAGAATGCCCGTATTAAAGCTGCCAAACTTTGATTTCCTTCTGTGGGAAATCCTTTTTCCAACTTTCGCTGTGGAGGTATGTGTTACCAGCGCTTTGGGGCGGGAGACAGTCTTGTTTTCCCTGGAATGTTTGGGTGACCTGTGTCTGCGGTGGGGTCCAGCAGTCTCCACCAGCAGTGGCTGCTGGCCTCGGCACATATAGGTCAGCCTTGTGAGGCCGAGGAGGCTCCGTGTAGCGCTCTAGGGGCTGCCCACACGAGCACAGGGGTTAGCAGCTTTTGTGTTTTTGTTTGTTTTCATTTTCATTAGTACCCCCTGCAGAGGCTCTTATAATTAGCCACTGGAGTTCTCCATACTAAATTTCTGCCGTTAGTCAACATTAGGCTCTGCATTAAAGCAGTATCATCTGAAGTTTTAGTGAGAAACAAACATTATCCATCACGAAAATGAACTTTTCGGGTAAATGATTTTTTTATTGCTTTAAAAATATATATATAAAGGCCTAGGATAAAACGGAGAAAAAGTAGAAATAAGAAACATGTCCATCTTTCTATAGAGCTTTTATACTGTACCTAGTGTAATGTCTAGGATTTTGTGTCTAGTGATCTTTCTGAGAGTATCGCTTGGTGCTAAGCCTTAGTGAAATCAACTAAGAGTGACGCAAAGTTCTACTTACAATTAAAAAGAAAACTTCCCACTGGAATGCACACCCTTCAGATTCAAGACACTAATGAACATGGGTTCTTATCCTTTAAGACTAAACTATATAAATAATAAAATATAATAAACTGTGATTTTGTCTTTTTAACTTATTGAGACAGTCCTGATTGTTTTCTGGGATTGGGTAGACACATTCTTTTTATCAGTGCACTCTACCTGTTTATACACTTGAATAGGTAGATGCCCATTTTTAACTAAGTAATACGTATATTTTCTGTTCTAACAGCTTCCTACCATGTGTGTATATGGCACAATAGGGCGTAAGTTTTCACTAAGGCACTTGAATAATGAAAAAAAGTATGTCTAATTTACATAAAGGATATACTGTATCTAAAAATTTTCTAAAACTATGACTTGATACTCTCAAAATTGAAATACATGTATTTGATGGGCATACCAAGAGCCTAATGGTGAATGCATCTGACCCAGTGCTCAGTACAAAGTCGTAGGTACTAGGTAAGTGTTAAAATGAAATGTAAAAACCATTTTCATTTAGAAAGAAATCATGACACTCAATCACGGATCACTCTTGGTACTCAGTGTCAGTAGACATGCACTTGGTTTTTTGTCCATTTGGCTGGGTCTTCACAGGAATTGTCTCCCTGTCTGCAGCTATTGAATTTTTATGTGCAACTGGGGGAATTTGCAGCCCACAGTGTCCTGCAGCTCTGTGTTTTATCTGTGACTAGCCTTTCTCTTGAATGGATCTTATCCTAACTTCCTTATTCATAAACTTGCTTTTGCAAAGCTGTCTGGGATTTCTTTAAACAATCAAGCTCTCTCCGTATCTCAATATTTCTCCCCACCAGAATTTATTGCCATGTACACTTACGAGAGTTCTGAGCAAGGAGATTTAACCTTTCAGCAAGGGGATGTGATTTTGGTTACCAAGAAAGATGGTGACTGGTGGACAGGAACAGTGGGCGACAAATCCGGAGTCTTCCCTTCTAACTATGTGAGGCTTAAAGATTCAGAGGTAAACCCACATTAACTGTTTCCTCTCCCTTTCTGTGCGGTGATTCTCTTTTTTGGGCGTCACGATGTCTGACAGGGGAACTTTGTTGGGTTTTGCTAAGTTCTGGAACATGACAGTAAATACAGTGTGACCTGTAATGGTTTGACCTTGTCATTTGGTGCTGCAGGGTAAGCCCTGCCTTCCCACAAGCACAACTCACCGGGGCTCAGTGGAGGCTGCTTGTGATGGGCTGGTCTGCGTCAGCTGGGATAATAATGTTCAGTATTAACCTCTCTTCCTGCATGTAACTGACTTATGATTTGGAATGAACTTTCTTAATTATGTCTTCATGGTCATTGATTTTTAAATGCCCCAAGAAAGATACACAGCAATGTTTTGCCCATGTAAACAGAAGTATTCTGGTGATACTTGCTCCAGAATATTGGGGGTTCAAAAGTTTTTAAAATTTGTATTTTTGCCTACACGATATAGGACACAAGATGTGAGAGATTGGTACACTTTGGGCTAGGGCTAGGCCTTAGTATCTCCAGTGATCAGGGACTGAATTTATTTTAAATGCTGTTATCCTTAAAAGTTGGAAATGGCTCCCACTGTTGTTAAATGGAGCCCTAAAAATTTGATTGCATAAACTGTAGTCTTGAGATAATGCAAGTTTAATGAAATTGTGGGTTGGGCCTGCCACAGAGTATGGGGGCCTATCGTGTAGTAGCCAATTTCAAGTCAGTGGAGAGTTTCAGGGTATATACATGTAGTCATTTAACAGGTCCATTGCACATGAAAAAAAAAAATTGGCGCTCTCTTTTTTTTTTAAAGCATCAACAGTCAATTCACAGTTATTTTCTTTTTCTCCTCGTGCCTCCTAGGTACTGAGAGAGAAAAGGCTGGCAGAGAACCTATAGAGGCTGCTTTCTTGGTGTAAGCAAGTGGACAAAGCTCGCTCTATTTGAAATGCCAGTAGGAGGTCGTATATCCGCCTCCTCCTTAGGCCCCCGTGCTCAGAGCTGCTCCTGGGGTGAGGCTGGGCCTGGTGACTTGCTAGTAGTCCTACCATCAGCCATGTCACCTTCCCTGCAGTTCCCAGAAATGGTTTTATTTGCTTGGGTTTTGTTTTTCTAAGGGGTGTCATCATTATTGTTTTGTTTTTTGGTTTTCTTGCTGTGGCCTTGAACAGCTTACTGAAAGTCCCATGGGTGGATTTGCATGTCTCCCCACCCTTGGAGAATTTGACAGAAGCCTGAAGAAAGTAATTTTCCCCTGCAAGACAGCTGGCATGTTAGACTCTCTAGACCTGGAGAGGGAGAATTAAACTCTTCTCCAGGCCAGCATATAGAATCCAATAAGAATCAGACAAATGATATTTCAGGGGATTTGGGGGAAAACACTAAAAACTAAACTTGATTTCTACTTCCATGCATGAAAACTCTTAAAGTAACTTTACCTTTTGGATCGATTAAAATACAGAAGCCGTTACCTGTGTTGTATGTTAGCAAATTACAGTTTTCTATTTTTAAAAAACCATCTGGAGTCAGTAAATTAAAAAGAAAAATACACAATGCCTTTTTTTTAAGGTAAGCAGAGTTGTAAGTTACTTTCTTAACCACAGTCTTAAATTATTGGCCACAGAAGAACTAACAGCACTAAAGATTTTTAGACAAACATTTAACTATACTTTTAAATAGTAATAGTATAGCTAAATGTTTGTGTATATCTGAAGTAGAGCTTCAGATACCAGAATTGACCTCTGAGCAGGAGGAGAAGTTCCCTCTCCTGCTTTTCCTCTCTGGGAGGGAGGCCTGCGGCACACAGCCTGGGGCAGCTTTCTACAGGTGCGGGGCGGACAGAACCTGGCTTTCGGAGTCTGTCCTAGTGGCTTTTTAGCACACTGAAGCCACTTGAACTGTTGGGCATTGCCAATTGCTTTGTTCTTTCTATGGAATATAGGGAGTATATTATAAGCCTGTACTGGGAATGTAACTGGTCACTGCAATCTTGTTTCATTGGTATTTTATTTGATGCACAGCCTATTAAGAAATACCAAGAGAGACTGGCATTGTGTAATTTTGTTCGTTAATAAAGAAAGCGTAATCAGAGTAAAAATTAAACCCAAAACTTTTCCTGGTAAATAGTTATTAAATTTCAATAACCAAAATAAATGGCCTATGATAAGTTGTGTTCCTGGTAGATAAATGGCATATTTTTATTCTTTCAGTAACTTCTGTCTAGTTTATTAAGCCCTTTGTTTTGTTTTAATTGGAATACTTAATTTCCTGCAAGATAGGGACTCAAGGGTGTAAATTAATTCAGAATAAAGCACTTTGTACCAACAGATTACATTCTGGCCCCAGTCCCTGACTCTGGCGGTCTCTGTTGGCTTACTCAGCTGGTTTAAAATTCCATGAGTATCCATGAGAGGAATTCAGCCCCGAAGCACTTTGGAACACTTAGTAGTTGGAAAGAAATGTGCTTCGCTTCTGTGGACTGTGCTTCCAGCATTGACAGAGAAGTTGCAGTGTCTAAACACCGTGCAATCGGGTGGAAAGGCTGCACAGGACGGCAGCTACTCCGGTGAATGGGGTGGGGGAAGGGAGGTCCCGGTTGTCCCTGTACTGCTTTAGTTCTTTACAAAAGAAAGCTCCTAAAGCAAATATAGCAAAATATTAATATTTTAGTGTATTAAATATGGGTGATAGTCTCATGGTCTTATATTCTCTGTACTTTTTATGTGTGAAGTATTTCATAATTAACCATTTGAAAATAGAACACGAGCACAGTGTTGAGGATGGAGACTAATAGTCGCCCTAGCGTGGAGCCTCCTGTTCCATGTGGCTGGGTCCAGGGTGCACCTGTGCTACACGTGGTCAATACCTGAGCCCTCCGGGATCCTATAGGGCCACATACTTTGGTGTTTTCTCTCTTAAAAAGTAAAAGTGACCTGTTTTTAAATGACTTATTTTGTCCCGTGCTTTCCTGATACACGTCCTTATGTCAGATGCTTCTGTGTCTCCCCAGAATGCAAAGGGGGGTCTGAGGGTTCAAGCGGATTTGTATCATCATTAATCGTTTTTTAAGTTGCATGACCAAAACTCTTCAGCATGCAAATGAGACCTTTTGCTCTGTTTTAAGGGCTCTGGAACTGCTGGGAAAACAGGGAGTTTAGGAAAAAAACCTGGTAAGTTACAAACCCTGATGCTTATTTTTCAATGTTTTGAATGTAATTGATAGTTGCTCCCAATCTTTGTTTATTAGGGCCAGAAGCCTAAAATAAAGACAAAAGAATCTTTCCTAAGAGTGGTGGGAGTAGATCCTGTCCTCGGACCCCATTAAGTCCCAGGACATGAACAGTGGAAGAGATTAGAGGCGCAACAGATATTATCGCAATGTAGGTCCCAATTATTTAGAAGCCATTGGGTGGTTTTCCTCAGGTACACATTGAAGGTACAAAATTATAGGCAGGCCTCTGAGTTCAAAGTATTTTAGTTTATTTAAACAAAATCACACGTTCTATAAATAGTAGCGTGAAAAAGAGAAGAAGGAAGCAGATGTGAAATAATATGGTTTGTACGGCACGTCTTCCTGGTGTAGGTCATTTGAGCTTTTATGCTCTCATATCCTTAGAAAATTATAGGTTGAAACAGTCACTGAAATGCTGACAGAGGGATTTGTGTGTCTGTCTGGTGCTCAGCTCCTCATGGGCTTGCAGGGCAAGGAAAAGAGGGCCTCCAGGTTCTCTAGGATTTTAGTCAGACTCCAGATATTGGGCCACCCGGTCAAATCTCTGTGAGTCTTCTATATGTTGAACATTCGTCATTCCAGAGGGTCCAGATATTTCATATATGATGCCCAGGTGGGCTTAACTTTGCACTGAAACTGGCACGCTGCTCAGGGCCACAAAACACAGAAAGAATGTTGGGGCAGATCGCTGGCTGCATTTGCCAGGTCCTTGGAGGAGCAGGAACATCTGATGGCAAATAGCACCCCAGTTTGGTCTTTCTCCAAACTGAAAACTAATCCTTGGTGTGTTCTAGGACAGTCCTCTTGGCAGCATAGATTTCCCAGCTAGAGCTCCCAGTCAGAGCCAAGGAAGGTGTATGTAAGCTGGGCTCTGGGCTTTCTTGCCTCCCCAAGCTCTCTGAAGCATCCGGCAGGGCCAGCCCTGCACCACGACAGCTCGGCGCTCCTGTCGCGGTGGCCAACCCCTGATTGCAGAACAGGGTTATAGGGGTTTGTTAAAGAGAGGGAGTCATATTCATTCCCTGGAGTTAGTAGAAAAGTAGGAAACACTTAGAGAACAGCAGTCAGAGAATGGGGCCTTTTTGGCTTCTTTCTTTCTTTACTTCATTCCATCTTTCTTCTTTCCTTCTTTCCGTTTGTTCTTCTTTACTTTTCCTTCCCCTCCTTTCCTCCCTTCCTTCCCTCCTTCTTCTTTCCCTCCCTCCCTTCCATGGAGGTGAATAGAACAGTTTGTTCTGTATTGCTTCTAGAAGTTCAGAAAGCAGTTGATGCAGATGTACCCAAATGCAGTCAGAGAAGGATTCTGTCTTTTCATACTCGACCTCCTGGGCCAATGGAAATGCACTTTTCAGAGCCTGGTCTGTGATACTTACTGCTGGAATTTTTCCCATGGGACTTTTAACATTCAGAAAAAGTACAGAACTGTTGACATTTTTTCTCTATGCCGAATTGTTTTTGCATAAAATTCCCTTCTGAACTCCAGGTTCTTCCTTTAACTTTGAAATAAAAAGAAAATAAATTTGCATTGCCATGATTCATACCTGATATTCGGGGATCACTCTCAAAATGTGAGCGGTACAGAACACGGTCATGTTGGCGGGATTGAGAACCTGAAGCAACAACATACAAATGAGCTGCTGCCAGGCTCCGGGTGGTTTCTGGGGAAACTAGACTCTCTCTTCCTACTTCACTTGGCAGATGGAAAAGCTTCCCTTGAGTCCCTTATCCACTTAACCGTCACTGAGTGCCGCCATGCTGGGGCTGGGGCCATGAAGGAGGCCCAGCCCTTGGTATCGAGGTGTTCACAGTGATCGTGGGAAGGATGTGGCAGAAGGTTCAGGGAGTGGGACAAGGAGGGGACTTCACGGAGGGAGCATGGTAAGTTCTGAGAGATGATGAGGGTGTCCGACAGCAGATCGGCCAGGACAAAAGGGTCAGCCGAGCCCCTGAACGCTGCATTTGCAGTGTAGCTCTGGAGATGGGGCAGTTCAGGGAGCTGTGTTCGTTTAGTAGAAAACCAGCCCAAAACATTGGTTTTGATGATGTTAATCTGTGGACCTGGGAGGTGGCTGTGTGTTTGTAGACTTTTCTTCTCCTGACTCTCACAGTGCACTGCCATGTTTGATCTTGTTTTTCAGAAATAGCCCAGGTCATCGCGTCATACACTGCCACCGGTCCCGAGCAGCTTACTCTCGCCCCTGGTCAGCTGATTTTGATCCGAAAAAAGAACCCAGGTGGATGGTGGGAAGGAGAGTTGCAAGTTAGTATCTTTGTTATTTGTTGAAAATTCTTCATCCAAATTTGAATATGCAAAATCTCAAAGGGACACTGTTTTGCGGTAAAGTATAAATAACCCTTCACTGCCTAAATTCTGCATTTGGATAGTGAGAGATACCACATTTTCTGAATCTGTCTGGTTCCTAAGCTTCAGACAGCAGGTAGCAGAATTCTCAGAGCTAGAGACTCGTCTGAAAATTATCTGCTGCATTCCTGAGTTCGGATAGCGAGTGTTGGGATGGTGAGAATTTATATGATGAGCGACACCTGTGCAGAGTCACCCTTAAGTGTCACGGCATTACAGAAGTGGAGCTTTTCGCCAATGGTGTTAGAAGATGTGCTACAATAGCATGCTTCTTTGCATTCAAAGCCACATCTGTGTATCACAGTATTTTTAGTTCCTGTGTGTGTATGTGTGTGTGTGTGTGTGTGTGTGTGTGTGTTATTCATAACATCTTGTTATTTATTTTGCCATTCCAGATACATCTTTAGAGTCTCATTTCCAACCTGCCTCCTTAGAGCAGTAGACAGCAAGTCAGTCTCATAAAGTCTCATTTCCAGAGACAAAGATGCTTTTAAGAATTTTACTATTTAGCAAATAGTAATAGGTTGCTATTTAGCCAGGCATGGTGGGGTGCACCTATAGTCCTAGTGACTTGGGAGGCTAAGGCAGGAGGATCACTTGAGCCCAGGAATTCGAGGTTACAGTGAGCTATGATCGTGCCACTGCACTCCAGCCTGGGCGACAGAGCAAGACCCTATCTCAAAAAAAAAAAAGTTACTATTGTGCAACCATCTTGGCAAATAAAGATTGTTGTAATCATCAGTGGATGCCAAATCTAAGGAGAATATTTGAATAGGAACAGAAAATGTGCAGGGTCTTAAAGTGACTGCCCACAAATTGCTTATTATTTGCAGGGGAAAATGCAGTAATTATACAGTAGAAAACTAGGACAACACCTTCATCAGGTGACCGGAATTATCATCCCCGGTGGGGAGACAAGTGGACATTATACGAATGCAAAAGCACTACCCTAAGAAGGACACAATAGCACTTACACACTATTCTGTCTAATCGTGAGGAAATTTTAGATAAACCCAAAATGAGAAACGTTCGATTAGAAAGGGGGGAGGGAGTGACTGTATTCTTCAAAATTGTTAATATTGTAAAAGACAAACCTGTAGAAAGGACAGTAAAGGGACATGAGAACTGACCACAATACCAGATGCCAGATGGGTTCCTGTGTGAAAGAAGACCGTGCTCTCCGGGACACTGCTGGGATGAGGACACTGGATTAGACAAAATTCTTGTACCAATGTGAAATTTACTAGAAGTGATAGCCGTGCTGTGGTCATATAAGAGAATATTCCTATTTTTAGAAAGTATACATTGAAGTATTTAGGGGTGTAGAGCCAGGATGTAAGCAACTTGTAATCAGATGGTTCAGAAAAAGAAACTACAGAGAAGCGGTGGGGAGAAGAGAGAGAAAATGGGCGAGTGACGCGCTGGCGCAAAGTGTCAAGAATAGGTGCATCCGGGTGAAGGGCGTGTGGGCGTTCTGTGTGCTTTTCTGATTCTTGCCACTTCTCTGTAAGTTTGAAATTATTTTAAAAAGTTGCCTTAAAAAGGTTACTACTGCAGCAATTACTTGATAGAGCCGACGGACTCTTACCCAGAAAGTGTGTCTCCCTCCTTCCCCGCGACCCCCACTAGCCCCCAAAGTGAAGGACAGCCGTGTCCTCCGTGGCCCACCCACACGGGTGTTCCACAGGGGCCTGCTGAGGGCTGAATTTCCCAGTGGCCGTCTGGCCTTTGTGCAGGAGGGGCCCGACATCCTCCTTTACAGTTGAGCTCGGGGCCTGCTGCCTAACGCCAGGGGCCTCTGTAAGGATTGGCTGAATATGTAAAGGAAGGATTTCTAGAATTGCTTTGTGAGGAAGGGGCCTGTAGTAACCCTTTGGTGTCTATTAGTGGGCCTGCGGACTGACCTCTTGGACCAGCTGGCTCTCATCTAGCCAGAGCAGGACTGTATGGGTATTAGGTAAGTTTGAGAGGGAGGAGGGAGGCAGGTCACGTTTGCCGTGCAGGGAGCTAGCCATGGAAGATGGACCCTCCAGGGGTGCTTAGGAACGGGGGCTTGGAACAGTGGGAGCGGGAGACACGTGCCTTGGGAAGGAGGAAGGACTTGCTTGGGAAGGCCTGTGGCCACGTGCTTTTGCTTTCCTCTACTCCCTGCTCTCCAGGCCAGCCTGGGGCAGGGAGGAGAAGGGCCACACCGTGGTGAGCTGAACATACGGGGCCTAAGAAATGCATCTTGGCTGGAATGGAAGGCTCAGCCTGGAGTGTAGCTAAAGACAGAGCTTCCCCTGGGGAGAGGGCTGGGGCAGCCACCGTAAAAACCCTGTTGGGGAGCCGGGCACGGTGGCTCACGCCTGTAATCCTAGCTCTCTGGGAGGC